ATCACATGCTTGACGCACGCACACATATTCTGACACAATTGGTATTATTCCTGTAGATTTGTTTTGCAGATTAGTGATTCTGTATAATGTATAATGTCCTTGTTACTTCACAGTTATGTGTGGTAATGTAATATGTGAATGTCTTTATGTGAAGTTAACACGATATACGGCATATTTCCATTGGTCGGTCACATGACCGCGAAACTGAAGTTCATAGATGGGGCTGGTAGAGCCACATTGGCAACTAGAATAAAATATCTGTTGAACATACTTGGATTTGGTCTAGTTTGGTTTAAACAGGGTGTTGGTGACATAACCCATTTCCTTAGAATTTGTAGGGAAAGGTTGCAGGATTGTTGGAAACAAACATGGGCACTATTTATAAGTGAAACAAGTAAGCTTAATAATTATTCCATTATCAAATTAGTGTTGGAGCCTGAAAGGTATTTGCACAATAAGAAGAGTAAAAATTTAAGAATTGCTCTTAGTCGATTCAGATGTGGTAACCACAAACTGACTGTTGAAATATGGCGGTGGGGAGGAGTTGCTAGAGGGGAGAGAGTATGTAAATATTGTTTTGATAATCTGAGTGTATCAATTGTGGAGGATGAAGTTCATTTTATCATTTAACTTAAGCATTTATCCATGACATAAGCTTATGACATAAAAACATGTATGTCATACCCCAATGACATAAGTATGCAAATTAGATATGCAAATTAGATAACCGGAAGAGCGAGCGGTTTGATTTGAAACTATATATTATAAGTGAAGTTACACCAGAGATATAATCAGATTACACAGAATCGTTGTTGTTACGGTTATTAAAGTTTCAATTATTCTGCAAAAGTCTGTTCAAGTATTTTGTTTAAAATAATCCGAGGAACTGTTTTTCTCAGCGAATTACATGGCTATGGAAAACATGTATCACTACGCACGATCTATACGTAAGATTTCGACAAGTTGCTGATGTTAATGTTTAATGCAATTATTCCTTAATTTGGAAGCAAAAATGTGAAAATGATAAATAGAATTCATCACTCGTGTTTTTAATATGGGAAATATCAACCTCGTCCCGTTTATCGGTATTTGCCTCGCCAAAGGCTCGGCAAATACCGATTAATTAGACTCGGTTGATATTTCCCATATTAAAAAAAAACTCGTGATGAATCCTCTATTTATTACATCGTGTTACTTGTATAACAAATTCAGAAATATGCTTTTGCCAAGTATTTGCACTATAGTAATCTTTGTACTCTCGACAAATTTGAGAAAGTTAAGACAGATAATTCTTTGTCAGAATCTTTAGCACTGTATGTTGTTAAATGCACGCAGGCAAGGCGGGTTTCCAACTTTTTCAGTTTGTAGAGAGTAATAAGCAGTGTTTTTAGTGTAAAAAGTACTGCTTAGAGCTTCAGTAGCAGAGCCATTAGTGATGTCATTTGATTGTGACGTCATGGTAACAATGACGTCACAATGGTCTGCAAAGTGTCGTAACTGCTTTCGGGCGTCCAGTGCGACCCTAATACAGTTACTAAATGTATTGCCGTTCCTGGTCCTCGTGGTCAATTACGCCATGACTTTGCCACTCGCCTTGTCCCCCGCGGCTCGGCTCCGTCAAGGAGTGATTGGTCTAACGACGCTTACTCCAAGTTGTCTCTATCAGCATTCACACTCGCATAATAAAGAAACGCAACACCAGCTTTATACTCAGTTAGTTTTACTTACTCTCAGCCGATCTATCAATACAGGACAGGATAAGACCGGCCAGACTCGTCACCAAATGGGGGAAACTTGGAACGATCGGGATCCGACTTGATCGATTGCAAACCGCGCTCTCCTCTCCTAATGTTGAAGGTATCATTCTATAGTGTTCGGGCCTGGCCTGTCCTTGTCACATGTCACAATACCTCATTTTGATTCGTTAAATGTTAGATCATGACCATGAACTCATGTGTGTCGTAATCGGAAAAATACAGAAGCCTACGTGCCAGATTGCTCATCTCTCTATTGATTTTGTGACTCGCATCCGGAAGCTCCAAATGAAATATACCTTCAAACTCTCTATTTGTTTCATTTACTAATGGACGATAACCAGGAACCAATCCAATGATAATTACCTACTGCCTGCAAATATTAATGTATACTCAACAAGTAAAGTTTGGTTTTCAAACGCAAATACTACAGAAAAGCATGCATTTCATGCAAAAGTTGACTTTTATGCAAGCCTCATGATTTCACTACCCAAGAATGTGTATAAAAACATGTGCGTTAACAGGATTCCATATGCATTCTTTGGCATCGTGCTGACAACAACCACAACAAAATTACGCAATTATTCAACATTACGAAATACCTGTCCGAGAATGAGGGTCTGCGAGCCATTGGTATGCTTGAAGCAGGATCGAGTCAACTGATGTTGCAAGACAATTTAACGCCCACAGAAACACCATTTGGTGTTTATGGCAACATTGACACCATTCGAATGCAGTCAGAGACCATCCTGGGAGTGGTAGGCTACGCGTTACCAATAATCGACAAGACAACTGGATTCGAACAACACACCTACGAAATCGATTCCAGCCAGCAACAGTGACTGTGAGAGCATTCCCTGGCCTTCGATGAATATCTTCACAAACCGTACGTCGTCGCCTCAGATGTGCATGGATTGTCGCCAGAAGACCCGCCAGATGTCCCATTTTGACAGGAAACCATCGTCAAGCACGTCTATGGTGGTGCAGACAGCGTCTACGCTGGACGGCCATGCAGTGGGGACAAGTTCTATTCACTGACGATTCTTGTTTTCACCTCAGCCACAGCGATGGACGGATTCGAGTGTACCGACATCGAGGTGAATGTTACGTCAATCATTGTGTCATGGAAGAAGATCAGTTCGGGGACGGCAGCGTTATGGTATGTGGTGGGATTACAGCAAGACAGAGGACCCGTTTGATAGTGGTAGAGGGAAATCTCAATGGACAGCGCTACCGCGACGAGATCATCGGCCCTGTTGTTCTAACGTTTTTGTGTCGTCATGGCCAAAGCATTACCTTTCAACATGACAACGCCCGGCCTCATATTGCTTGACTTGTTCAGTATTCTCTTCAACAAAACAACGTGAATGTCATTCCCTGGCCGGCTCGCTCCCCTAATCTCTCACCAATAGAGCACATGTGGGATGAGATGGATCGGCGCCTTCGACGTCAACCACGTGTTCCACAGACACTCCAGGAACTCTGAAACATGCTCCAGCAGATATGGATATATATCCCACAGGACTTTGTGCAATGCCTGGTCCATTCCATGAGACGAAGATGTGTTGCTTGCATCGCAACCAGAGGTGGACACACACGCTATTGATTTGTAAATTCACATTTTGGCATGTTCATGTTTTTTTAAGAAATCGCGAATTTTCTGAAGTCAGTATGGCAAATGAAACCATTTGAACACTTACAGGAGTCTTTCATCTGTTGCAAACCGAAATTGTTTCAGATTTGGTAAAAAACATTATTTTGCATTAAATCTTATTCAATGTCACAGGAACTTTTGTTGTTCAGTATATGTCGACAATTGAACAGTCAGCTACTACCTTTTCAGGTAAGAAAGCCTTTTGAACATCTGAAACCTTTAGAACTGTATGCCAAACCTGAACAGGAGAGGTTGAATACTGTAAAAATGTAGGTGATTGATTTGAGCCTTGGGTGAGTGTTTTGGACTTAGGAGAGCTGGGTGATGTGATTCATGGTTAAAACCACTCTCGAGTGATTTTTGAGGAACTGATTGGAGCCTGCTCTCTCATATAGCTGGAATATTATTGAGTGCGCCATAAAACAACAAACAAAACAAAACAATATTCTGAGGTACTACTTATTGGTATTTAAATTATCATCATCGTGAGAGAGTTTTTATGGTTATGTTGTAAGGGAACCATCACTTTTAACTTGTCCATGTCAAAATAGTACACGTCTATATTAAGAAGTGACTTCTGTATGTACACTGTAGAAACTGTAAATGTATTACTGCCACAACTGAGAGTGAATAAGATAATAAGTAGTAAAACCACACACAAACAATTCAATCCCTGACCTTTCTGTATATTTTACTACCAATACATCATGTTCAAAACAGCATAAATATGAAAAGGGGCTAAATCGAACTGTATATGCACATAGTATAATGGTCTCTTCATTCACAGATCTAAAAAAAAGCAATGGTTTCAAACTGAGTGTGAAATTGAAGGGTTTATAAAAAGGTGTAAGAGTCCATATATTTATAGAAATACATAAAACATATTTTCACTCTAAATTGTTATACACTCAGTAATGAAAAGTGTGCCAAAGAAGATTGCGCTCGCCTATTATTTCAACTTTTTACAAATATTATCATATATTTATACTAATTAGCGTCTATGGCTGCACTAAACAACCACAACCTTGGTCATGACATATATATATATATGTTACAACCAATGTGTAAAATGACTGCTTGCTTCAGGTTCTCAAACCCTTTTTCAACGCCTTATAACAGTATTTGTGCATTTCCTACCATTATAACATGTTGGTTTGGTTATATTATTAATAATGGTTTACATGTGAGTTTGTGAGGTTTTGGGTGGGCTTTAGGATGGGCTTTTGGGTGGGACCCACCCAACCCCAACACACACCCATTTAAAAAATCCTGGATCCGCCCCTGCTATATGATAGTTAGGCTGTCACACAGACCCTGAAACAAATACATGTATATCAAACCCATGCAAGTCTAGATTACCGTTGTATCTGACAATGAACAATTATGAAGAAAGTCTCTTGGCTCCTTTTCATGACATTTTCAAACTATAATTTAACAACTGTTGTTTCTAAATATTTTTTCTTCATTAGGTGTATGCGAATACATAGTGTATGTGTCAGTTCACCAGAGACGAAACCCCGACTCTTCCTCTGCAATACATTGTAGTAAGCCGGGAGAGTTACTTCCCTTTTAGAGGTTTTCTTTCAATAAGTGACAGTTCGTTTACTTCCGGTAAAACTTGCACGTGAAGACCAAATCTTGCATGTGTTTTTGTTTTGACGTCAATTTTATAATAAGTAACATATGCAGAATGCTACATGCATATATATGACATGAGACTGGGATGCTTATCAAATCACAGTCGCTGTTTAGTATTCGACAAGTGTTATTGAGGTTTTCCAGCTCAAGACCAGCGGAATTCTCCGATGTAAACAAGTGGATATCAAAGGTGGACAATATGCCGAGAATAAAAGTCGAGAGGAAACTTCGCCATGTGAAGTATCGAGAGAGAATGGGAGACAAGCTCAAGGCTCCTTCATTCGTAAATGTTGTTGTAATCGGGAGTGGAGGGAGAGGTAGTCCACGCTCTGTCATTATTGATACAAGCATATCTAAGTGAGTATAGTCCATCACTCTTGGTATTACCGTTTCCGATAATTCCTATTACTCGTTATTGACAGTTGTAATATTCTAGCTTTATGGGCAACAATGCAGTTTACCGAGCACAGCCCGAGCTCCGCCATCCGCTCAGTTACCGCACTATAGTGCCACCGCTGTCTCGCTATAATGTTACGGTGCCTCACGCACCGGTGACACTCGCTTCACGACCCAACACCCCATTTTCGGTCCTAGGGAAACTAACACGTCTTTACGATCCAACACCCATTCTCTGTCTTAGGGATACTTACATGTCTTTACGATCCAACACCCGTTTTAGGTCTTAGGGAAACTTACACGTCTTTACGATCCAATACCCATTTTTCAGTCTTATGGAAACTTACACGTCTTTACGATCCAACACCCCTTTTCCGTCCTTAGGGTTAGCTTGCTTCGGCCAAGGGTTAGCCAATAATTCTTACCTTTTCAAGCGTTAATCCAGTTAATCTGATTGGTTGGGCATGTTGACATAAACAATGGCGGGTGTGGTTTAAGAAAAGATGAATTGGAGAGCATGTTAATGGGGATTCTAATGACCCGTTAAACGAGCATTGATTACATGTGATAGCGCCCGTGGTCCATTGGTAGAGCATCGGCTAATTAACGCATTAAGAGCCGCTGAGCCGGCGAAGCGCGTTCGAGCCCTCACAGTGCTAATTGGATCTGAAAAAGTGCACCCGGTAAAGTGCACTACTCCTGCTTTATGAAAGTTGCTAACCCCAGTGTCGGTGGTCACTGTGGAATCAAATCATATCTTTGGTTTCAATTTCAAGACATGTCTTTTGCATGTGCAAGTTTAGTTGAATGGATCTATCATCCTTGATTTGAGGGGTAGCCTGCAACCTTGGGGTATCGCGGTACTTGTTATGTACGCTTAACGGAACAAAATGCACTCACTAACCTTCATGATTTTTCGTGTTCTCTATATCAGATGTCATTTATTTTATCTAACCATGCATATTTTACTTTATTATGTTATAAAGCCCCACTGCTTTTGAAAATGTGGGCCCTTTTTTAGATTTATAGGGCAAAAGCTCAAGGGGCTTCCCTGAATTTTACCTGCCTTGGATATGGGTTAACACTTCAATACAAAAATATTTGCAACAGACTTACCAGTCACTATGGTATGTGTTTTTTCAAGACCCGCTTATGTAAATGACACCCTTTGGACCCGGTAACAATGTTATGTCAAATACATGAGACCGACGTCTGAGTTACATTGATTTCTTTCACTTTACATTTGGCTCCTGGTTGTGAATTTATGTTCACTCCAGAAATATTGCTGAGGCAAAAAAGAAAATTATATCTAGTGGGTACATGTGTATCTTGGAAAAAAATGATACTTTGAAAACAAATAGTCTTCCAAAATTATCAAACAATTGTCCATATGTATCTGATGATATCACATGATATAGACCTCATAATCTATAATGTAACCAGAAACAACTTCCTGCACGTGGCTGGTAATTTTTCTGTTGGGCTACATGAAATTTTCCTCCACCTGTCTGTCTGGCAGATAAATTACTGACAACTTATGTGTTCAGTTTTATTTAATCCTTGTTTAAATTCTGAAATGATTGTTTGCATTAGTTCAACTGAATCAAGATGCTATTTGTTTCTTATTTACATGCTTTTTTAATATTTTAATTTATTATGTCTGAATGCGGGCAGGTAACTTGGATTGGTTGGGTTGGGTTGGTTTGTTGTTTAACGCCGCACTCAGCAGTATTCCAGCTATGTGACAGCGGTCTGTAAAATAATCGAGTCCGGACCAGACAATCCAGTGATTGACATCATGAGCATTGATCCACGCAGTTGGGATCGATGACATGGATTAACTTAGTCAGCGAGTCTGACCACCCAATCCCTTTAGTCGCCTTTTACAACAAGCATAGTCGCCTTTTACAGCAAGTATGAGGTAACTTGGAAGATGGGCAGGCAACACTTATGGGTCACCAGCCTGACTGTCTTGTTGGGTTTTAAAATTATTTCAAACATTGAATGTAACATTTATTTGATATTGATCACAATGTATGTTTGAAATTGAGTCTAAAAGTAATGGGATCCTTGATATCCCGAATGTTAAAACGAAGACATGAAACATTTATGGATAACAATGTCTTTATTGTTTGTCACAACATTTCAGGACTACTTCTTGACCCTTCACATCTGGTGAATACTGAATAGACATATTGACATATGTTGGCTGTTATCAGCCCGAGAAACTTACGTTTTTAGTCCACTAGTCCTTATGATACATTAAATATCGGGCAGTTTGGCAAGGACTACAGGGCGATGGGGCTGATTTGGGCTTGGGGTTGTTTTTGCTGGATTCCATTGGTTTTCCGAATGTTTGGAATAGCTATTAGATGTGACAGATATATGTCAATGGCCATCACAAAACATCTAGCAGTGATAAACCTTTGGCCAAGAAATCAAGATCAAGCCCAAACTAGTCCCACACCTATCCCAGTCACCAGATCGGCCAACATTACATGATGTGACCTTCACCTCTGACATAACTCTGAGAAAATCCTACATGCCATTAGTAAAGGTTCCACCCAGTCCGTCCCATACCCTGGGGGTGGAGCCTGAGATCACTAGCAAGTGTGGAGACAAATGTATCGAAAGGACTTTCCGCCCCACTGCCACCAAAATAAGAGAACAAAAGACCTCTGTTACCAAATCTCACATGAATTCTGCCCTTTTGGAACTCCTCATCGACGATCATTATTCATATTTCCTGGCAACGAACCAGAATTCTCCATACCAACATCAATCACTGGAAAAAAGAGGAAAGTATAGATACAAGCCAGTCGTTAACAGACCAGGGCATCTACCTCTCCAGCACAGTGATGCAAATAACAATTGAGTCTACGAGCTCAAACTTGGATCTCAGTTATCAACTGAGCAACTAGACCAAACAGAATTTAACTAGACTCAGGCTTTGGACTGGTGGCTAAAGTCATAGACTGCCAATGCATACTCTATCGTGCTACAACCAATTATTACCCTCACATGGACGCCTTGATTGTTTTATTCTTATATTGAGCTCTAGTCAGCTCTTTATCACACTGAAGAGGATCACTCTGTTTTCACTGTACTTAATTTGCTTCTCTCCCGTCAATCCAAATGACATCCTCGTTATGTTGTTATCTTTCCACATTAATCCTACCTTGTGTACACATATGAGCATGTTAACTTGATTGGCTCACTCAGTATTCACCCATCTTCCCGAGGCAAGAGAGTTAACTGGCTATAAAAGTCCAGTTTCCACCCTTGCCGAACTAGGCTGGAATTCCTGGACTCGATCGTAGCGCCACCAGTGGTTATTACAAGTTATGTCCATTCTAAACCTCTCCTATGGACCAATCAGATTCCACCTCTCGCACCACTTGCATTTGTTTCAAACAAAATGGCGGCGCCCAGTCTAGACGATCTGATCGATAATGAAGACCTATATTGTGATAAAACGGGTTTTACATCGCGAAGTGCATCAAATCACATGAGCACCTTGATTAAAAACATGAAATGATTTGAAAAATATCTGTTGACAAGTTGGCGGTGCACATGCTTTGCAAATCCTGCAACCGACAGAAATCTGCATGACAGTTTACGAACCGGTTTCCGATTTCGATGCGCGATTGTGATTGGTTTATGCATAGACTCGTTAGTACAGCCAAAATGTAACTCCATAATACCAACCTAGTTCGGCAAGGGTGGAAACTGGACTTTTAAAGTCAGTTAACTCTCTTGCCTCGGGAAGATGGTATTCACCTGATGAAGGGGCAAGAACTAACCCTGAAACGTTGTTACAAACAATAAAGATGTTGTTATCCAAAATAGCTTGGTTCATCTTGTACTTCCAACTTCTAAATGTCTATTAAGGACCTCATAATAAAAGTCAGGGGGTCCAGAGATAAAACTGTTGCAGCCAAAGTCAAAGACCCAAGGACCCCCTTTGTTAATTGAGTGTCCAGTCTGGCTGTCACAGGCTGGAGGGCCAGCAGTCAGATGAAGCCATGTGTTTGTTACTTGCTTTGTTAACTAGTATTTATGTTAACATCATTTCCTGCACATTTTGTTTCTGCACAGTTTCTGTTTTAGTTATGTGAGATGTTTTGATGTTTTGCAAACTTTGGATTATTCACAGTACATGACAAACATTTTTTGCAGCATATTTTTCAAGCATCCTTACTAAGGTTACCTTTCAGTTAACCAATGTTCTATGTCAAGAGATAAAAATATGATTGCAGTATTCTCCCAAGTTTGGAAAATTTTAGTTATTGGTAGGGATGCAGTGATACAGACATCCATGACAGTGAGCAGTAGAGTACGCAACGTGTACGCGAGACGGGCTATTGGAATGTGTGCTGTCTGTCCTTCCATTGTTCTGTCTGTCCTTCCATTGTTCTGTCCTTCTGTCATGTTATATTTCCAGAGCATAACTCTCACCATTCAATGTAAGTCTAGCCATGAACTTGTGCCTTTTGCAATTTCAGAATTGTTGATCTTTGTTTAATTTATTTTGTCTAAGACAACAAATTCCAATCAGTGACGCGTTCATAATTCATTTCAAGTGGATCATTATATTTGTATTTCTTCAATTATGAATCAAGTGGTCAGCTGCTGACTTCTGTACTTTTGGAATTTACAACCAAACAACATTTGGCTGTTAGTGAACAGAAGATACTAGGAAATCATTGTTAGTACCCTGACTTAGACATAAATTTTATGTTGATAAATCTGTTTGTACTTTGCGAAGGAAGAGTTGATTCTTTCAAATGACAAGGATCTGTTTATGATGAAATAAGACCAGGGTAGCCATTTTGTAAACTAATGTTGATTATCAGTAAGAATGGGGCGGCGGGGTAGCCTAGTGGTTAAAGAGTTAGCTCGCCACGCCGCAGACCCAGGTTCGATTCCCCATGTGGATACAATGTGTGAAGCTCATTTTC